AAAAATAGGGATGCTAGACTTGTAGTGTGCTGAGATCTGGGAGGCAATGAGGCCAGGCAGGGCAGCTCTATATTTAGAATTCTGTGAATAGGGCCAGGCATGGCGGCTTGGCGCCTGTAATCCCAGCACTTTGGGACTCAGACGCAGGTGGATCACAGGTGAAGAATCAAGATCATCCGGGCCAACATGATGAAACCCCGTCTCTACTAAAAATACAAAAAATAGCTCGGGGTGCTGGCGCACACCTGTAATCCCACCTATTCGGGAGGCTGAGGCAGAAGAATTGCTTGAACCTGGGAGGTGGAGGTTTTAGTGAGCTGAGATAGTGCCACCGTACTCCAGTGTGGCAACAGAGACTCCATCTCAAAAAAAAAAAAAATTCTGTGAATAGGCTGGGCATGATGGTGTGTGCCTTTAATCTCAGCGACCTGGGAAACTGTGGTGGGAGGATCGCTTGAGTTCTAGACCTGTTTGGGTAACATAGCGAGACCCCGTCTCTATTAAGAATTTTTTAGGCTGGGTATGGTATTTCATGCCTGTAATCCCAGCTGAGGTGAGTGGATCACTTGAGGTCAGGAGATTGAGACCAGCCTGGCCAACATGGTGAAACCCTGCCTCTATTGAAATACAAAAATTAGGAGTACTGTGGCTCTAGCCTGTAATCCCAGCACTTTGGGAGGCTGAGGCAGGTGGATCCCTTGAGCCCAGGAGTTCGAGACCAGCCTGAGCAACATGGTGAAACACTGTCTCTACAAAAAATACAAAAATTAGTTGGGTGTGGTGGTATGCCCCCATAGTCCCAGCTACTTGAGAGGCTGAGGCAGAAGGATCTCTTGAATCTGGGAGGTCAAAGAAGCTTCAGTAAGCCAAGATTGCACCACTGCACTCCAGCCTGGGTGACAGAGTGAGACCCACCTTCTAAATAAACAAATAAGAAAGAAAATAAAAAATTAGTTGGGAGGGCACCTGCCTGTAATCCCAGTTACTTGGGAGGCTGAGGCAAGAGAATCACTTGAGCATGGGAGGAGGAGGTTACAGTGAGCTGAGATTATGCCACTACACACCAGCCTGGGTGATGGAGCAAGACTCTGTCTTGAAAAAACAAAAAGAACTCTGGTCAGTGGAATGGTTGTCACCTTCTGTTCACTGGAGTCCAGTACCAGAGTGTGGCAAGCTATCTTGTTCCCACACACCCCTTGCCATGCCCCTAGGGATGTCTGCCTTTCCCAGGGAGGCCACTTCTGCCTATTCCACTTCCTTGAGGCTCCTCGGAGGTCCTGTGCTTCCACCCCTAGGGCGCCTCCTTGTCATCCCACCTCCTGCTTTCTTTCTTGCTTAGGATGTGAGGTGTGTGAACCTCTCCAGCCCTAGGCCCCACAGGCTCAGGTGGGCGGAGAGGGGAGGGTGCTCATCCTGGACTTCCCAGCACAGGGTCTCCTGGGGGCTCCCTCTTGGCCAGCTCTGGGCCAGAAACGTGTTTTGCAGTTGCCATTTGCACATGGATTCTCAGCCCCATCAGCCTGAGTCTTTCTGAGGGCAGTACCCCATCTTCCTGGCTCTGCGCCCTCATAGTAGCGCCTGCCAGGTAGTTAATGTTCAGTCCCGGAGGCAGGAAGAGCTGGAGGCTAGTGTCATTTAAATGCTTGGTCTGTTTGCCAGCATCCTGTTCTGAGGGGCAGCAGGAATGGGGATGGGGGCCTTGTGTACACTGGGAACCAAAAGTGGGAAGGGAGGAGCCCAGCTCTCCACTGTGGGTTCTGGGCCCTGGAGCCATGGCAGGGCGTTCACACAGGGCTTACGAGAGAGAGGAGGCTTGCCAGCTCCCAGCTGGTATCGCTTGACCCTCTGAGGGACTACATTGGAGGGGTTGGCATTCTGGAATACCCTGCTGTCTTCCCTGCAGGTCCAGAAAGTCCCTCTGGGTATGTTTGTACCAGGGCAGGTGTGGGCTGCCTCAGATCCTTCTGCACTGTTCTTTGGAAACCCTCACTGAAATCTTTCCCTCCTCTAGCTCCGCTGTAGCAGCCACTGAGAAGAAGGCGGTGACTCCAGCGCCTCCCATAAAGAGGTGGGAGCTGTCCTCGGACCAGCCTTACCTGTGACACTGCACCCTTAGGGCCCCTGACTACTTTGCCTCCTTGGATTCCCTCCAGGGAAACAGTGACCTAATTTATGACAAATATGTAGAGCTCCAGTATCGCTTCTCGTTTTACTTTAAAAAATAAAAAAATAGAGTCTCACCATGTTTCCAAGGCTGATCTTGAACTCCTGGCCTCAAGTGATCCTCCTGCCTCGACCTCCCAAAGTGCTGGGATTACCAGCGTGAACCACCAAACCTGACTTGATTTTACTTTTTTTTTTTTGAAACAGAGTTTCACTCTTGTTGCCCAGGCTGGAGTGTAATGGTGCAATCTTGGGTCACTGCAACCTCTGCCTCCCAGGCTTAAGCTAGTCTCCTGAGTAGCTGGGACCACAGATGTGTGTCACTATACCCGGCTAATGTTGTATTTTTTGTAGAGATGGGGTTTCACCGTGTTGGCCAGGCTGGTCTCAAACTCCAGACCTCAGGTGATCCACTTGCCTCGGCCTCCCAAAGTGCCGAGATTACAGATGTGAGCCACCACGCCCAGCCCCTGATTTTAAGCAATACCCAGGTCACTTGGATTTTGGGGTGAAGTCAGTGCTGAGTCTTCCAACTCTGTCGGTGCTCCAGCGGTGAGAGAGACACTGTCCCTGGGTGCAGAGGCCCTGAAGACAGCAACACGCTTTCCCCTGAAGGCCAGGCTCTGACCTTGAGAGTGGTGGGAATGGGTGACCCTTCTGGAAGATTGGACTCCAGGACTGCTGGGTGTTGGGGAACACTGATCATGAAGACCAGTCAGGTGGGGGAGGGGTGTGTGTGTGTGTACACTTGGTAGGCCAGCCACAGACATCTCACTTCCATCTCTGTTTTTGGGGGGGATGGGGTTTTGCTCTTGTTGCGCAGGCTGGAGTGCAATGGCACGATCTCAGCTCGCTGCAACCTCCGCCTCCTGGGTTCAAGCGATTCTCCTGCCTCAGCCTCCTGAGTAGCTGGGATTACAGTTGCCCCCCACCATGCCCAGCTAATTTTTTGTATTTTTAGTAGAGACAGGGTTTCATCATGTTGGCCAGGCTGGTCTTGAACTCCTGACCTCGGGTGATCTGCCTGCCTTGTCCTCCCAAAGTGCTGGGATTACAGGCATGAGCCACTGCATCCGGCCTTCACCTCTTAAATTTTTGTTTGAGACAAAGTCTTGCTCTGTTATCTAGGCTGAGTGCAGTGGCATGATCTTGGCTCACTGCCACCTCCGCCTCCTGAGTTCAAGCGATTCTCTTGCTTCAGCCTCCCAAGTACCTGGGACTACAGGTGTGCATAGCCATACCCAACTAATTTTGTATTTTTAGTAGAGACAGGGTTTTGCCATGTTGGCCAGGGTGGTCTCGAACTCCTGACTTCAAGTGATCTTCCTGCCTCAGCCTCCCAAAGTGCTGGGATTACAGGTGTGAACCACCGTGCCTGGTCTAACTTTCACCTCTTGAGGGCTTCCCCAGCCACTGCTCACATGGACCTTCTTCAGCACCTTCCCACTGAGGTCCCTGCTTGACCTTGGTCACCTTGCAGCTCAAGGGAGAAGGCAAAGGACAGTGAGGGCTGCTCACAGGGAAGGCAGACCTAGGGCAGATCAGGAAAGGCCTCCCTGAGCCAGAAACCATTATGCTAGGGTTGCAGGATGAGAATGAGCCCTGGAAGGAAGGCAGTTGTTTCCTGGGGAGGAGACACACATCTGCAAAGGGAAATGTACAAGTCTGGCTGCAGGAGCCACCCAGTGACCCTAAGCAGGAGAATGTCATGGCTGTCCCAGGGCACAGCCCCATACCCTCAGCAGCTGAAAAAGATCAGCTGTCGACCAAGAGGGTGCTGAGAGGGTCCTGCCCTCTGGAAGCGGAAAGGCCACAGTTGCAGGCAGCAGGTACATGTCTCCCAGAGTGGGTCCTACAAAGGCTAACAGCCCAAGGCTTCCTGGAGGAGGTGGGATTCTGCTTGGGGCAAAAGGATGAATCAGATTCAGAAAGGGCAGGAGGGAGAGAAAGACCAGGCAGGGTGTGCAGAGGCCACCAGGAAGGCAAGACCCTAGGAAAGGCGTGCACTGACGGCCTCTGAACCAAGTTTTAGGACCCTGACTTTTCTTTTTTTTTTTTTTGTTTTTGAGATGGAGTCTCATTCTGTCACCCCCGGTTGGAGTGCAATGTTGTGGTCTCGGCTCACTGCACCCTTCGCCTCCTGGGTTCAAGTGATTCTCCCACCTCAGCCTCCCTAGTAGCTGGGGCTACAGGCAAATGCCACCACACCTGGCTAATTTTTGTATTGTTAGTAGAGATGGAGTTTCACTATTTTGGCCAGGCTGGTCTCAAACTCCTGACCTCGTGATGCACCTGCTTCGGCCTCCCAAAGTGCTGGGATTATAGGCGTGAGCCACTCACCCAACCAGCCATTTGACGAAATGAGGATCAAATGGTGAAACCCCATCTCTACTAAAACACACACGGGGTGCCATGGCAGGTGCCTATAATCCCCAATGCGCAGGAGGATGACTCTGGAGAATCACTTCAACTGGAGAGGCGGAGGTTGCAGTGAGCCGAGACTGCGCCATTGCACTCCAGCCTGGGCAACAAGAGCGAAACTCCGTCTCAAAAAAAAAAAGAAATGGGGTCCCACTGTCACCCATGCTGGAGTGCAGCCCCAAGTGGTCCTCCTACCTCAGCCTCCTGTGCAGCGGGGACTACAAACTAGAGCCACCATGCCCAGCTAATTTTCTTTTTTCTTGACACGGGGACTTGATGTGTTGCCCAGGCTGATCTCAAACTCCTGGGTTCAAGCGATCTGCCCGCCTCTGCTTCACCAAAGTGCTGGGATTACAGGCAGGAGCCACCACATCCGGCCTTTATTATTAAATTTAATTAATTGATTTTCTTTTCTTTTTTTCCCTCAAGCAACCTGACTCTGGGGTCGTTTACTCACCAAATATTTACTAAGAACCTACTGTGAGTCAGGTACTATGTGTCAGGCCCTCAGAATAAAGCAATGAGCAACAGAAGATCTCTGCCGTCCAGTAGTTGGCATTGTATACTCGGACGGTTAACCAGAATAAGTAATTAAGATTAATTACCTATCGGAGCCAAGAAAGCAGTGAGATGAGGGAAGAATGAGGAGTGCTTGAGGGGCGTGGCAGCCATATTAAAGAGGATCACGAGGCAGTAACATTTGCTGCAGTCCCCATGTGGAACGGGAAATAATGCAAATGAACATCAAGAAATTCCTTTTCCATCCCCAGAAGTTTCTGACTTCAAGCGGTCTCCATACCTTTTGACCGATCTCGTCACTGGGGAAAGTAGGGACGGGCGTCTAATTCTCTTTCTCTCCTATTCTGGCATTTACGGTAGGCGTAGCCGCGGGCGCGGGGGGACTCAGGGGGGCGTGGGTCCCGCCCCATCCTGCTCGTGCGCGTGCGCGTGCGCAGGAATAAGAGCGAGGTAGGGACGGCGCGTGGCCGGCGCCGCTACGGAGGCAGCTAGACCAGCGGTTGGATGGCGCGGGGCGGGGTGGGGCGAACAGGGGCTCTGGGCCTGGCTCTGCGGCTTCTGCTCGGTCTTGGACTAGGCCTGGAGGCGGCCGCGACCCCGCTTTCCACACAGACCTCCGCCCAGGCCGCAGGTGAGTGTCACCCGCAGCGCAGCCTCCCCCCGGCTTAGCCTCCCCTCTGCGCTCCGACAACGCCTCGCCATTGGCTACACCGCACGTCCGTCCCGGACACTCCCCCAGCACTTGGACGTGCACTTTGCTTGCGAGAAGCCGCGCGCGGGTGCTAGGAGGACCCCATACTGAGGGACTGGGGGTCCTTCCGCCCGGGTGCCTCCACGTGCCCTTAACAGTTTTGCCCAGGTCTTGCGCACCGCCCCACACGTGCTCTGCTTTGTCGTGCCCCATTGTCACCTCCAAGCCGCCCTTGATGCCAGCGTGGTCAGAAAAACTGTTAGCAGGCTCAGATTTTCCGACAACTAATCGTGCAGGGCGGGTCACCTGGTGCCTCTCATACCTGTGCCTTCGCGCCCAAACCCTCTCGCCCAGGCCATGTCTCTGTTCCGCTGCCTTCCTCACCCTCCCAGTCTCTCCTCCTTTGTCCTCCGCCCTCGAGGTCTCTCCCTCCATGCTACTCCAGGCCCTCGAAGAGACTGGGGTCACAAGTTCAGTATACCCCTGTGGGCATATTCACCCTGGCCTAAATGGTATTGGTGGCCAGTGGGGACAGGCTCCCTCTCTGAGGCTCCTAGAGGCAGCTGGGAGGGTTGGAGTAGCCTCCCTGTGCACACCGGCACCCCTGACTTGCAGTTCTGGGCTCAGGTTCACACGCTTTCCCAGCTCCTTTGTGCATTTCGCGCTTTGTAGGTCCCTGGACTCACCCCAAAGTCCCTGACATTGTTCCTGTTTTGTTTTTTTTTTCTTAAGCAGGTTCACATTAACCAAGTACAAAACTTTTTGTTGTTGTTGAGAGTCTCGCTCTGTTGCCCAGGCTGGAGTGCAGTGGCGCATCTCACTACACCCTACGCCTCCCGGGTTCAAGCGATTCTCCTCCCTCAGCCTCCCAAGTAGCTGAGACTACAGGTGCTGCCACCATGCCTGGCTAATTTTTGTATTTTTGGTAGAGATGGGGTTTCGGCATGTTGGCCAGGCTGGTCTCTAACTCCTGACCTCAAGTGTTCTGCCTGCCTCTGCTTCCCAAAGTGCTGGGATTGCAGGACAAAACTTATACTGAGTCCCCTTTCCACAGGATGTTGAGGTAGGGATTCCCAGCATACCCCCTTTACAGGTAAGGAAACTGAGGCCAGGAGGGAAAGTCACTGGTCACTCTGACTCCTATCAGGTTTACCACCCTATGAGGCAGGGACTGCTGTGCTTTGCTGTCCACTTTGCAGAGGGACACACACTCCAGTGGGCCAGGAGTCAGAGGTGTCAGGGCTGTGAGAGTCTGGGCCTGGGTAGAGAGTCACTCTTGGAGGCTGCCAGACCCCCCGGGGGTAGGGAAGGAAGCTGGCGCCGGGTTGTCCACAGCTCTTCCGGGCTCCACAGAGCTCAGGGACTGTGTGGCTTGAAGGTGCAGTTGGCTCTGAAGGCCAGGGAGGGGCTGGCTGTGGGGAGATGAGGGGTTGGAGGCTCATAGCTGGTGGGTAAAGGTGGAAGAGGTTAAAGGCCCTGGCAGAGTGAAGCCAAGCTAGGGTGGTGGATTTGCCACCTCCCCTGGCCGTACCCAGGAGGAAGCCCTAAAGGCTATTCCGTTCCTCTGCCCCTTGGCCCAGGTTCTAGGCCCCTCTGTGCCCCTCCAAGTCGGCAAACAGCTGAGCTTTTCTGCTCAGAATCTAGCACAGCTCGGAACTTCTCTGGACCCAGCTTGGACCCTTTTGTGACCTGTGTTCACTTATGATCAGGCACTGCCCTGGGTTTAGGCAGCCAGGTCACAGCCCTGACCTCCATAGGATGTCCAGTCTGGGTGGATAGGCATGACCAGGGTAAGGACAGTTGTTAGATGTGGGAGGCAGTGCTTCCTAGGTCTCCGAGGCGGACATGAGACCTCTCCCAGGAAATCAGCTGAGATCTGAAAATAGAGGGGGAAACACAGGGTGTAGAGAGGAGAGAGGGAAGGGCAGGTCTCTGGTATCCTAATGGACCTTGGGACCTGAGGCTCTGGTGAGGAGCTAACACATTTAGGATGGGGAAAGTGATCAGGTCTGGGAGGAGTTCAGGAGGCAGGGCAACAGGACTTGGTGACTACGCAGGTTCTCTGCCAGTGCCTCAATTTCCCTTCTTCTATGCAGAGGAGATAGACTGTCCCTGCTAACCTGAGCCCATGAGCCTGACTCAGGCATGTGGAGAAATGGCCCCACCCCTAGTCTCTTTAACCACGGAGATGGGAGGTCTCCCCGGTAGATTATCTCGATGTGAGGAGCCTGGTGAAGACTCTAGGATCATCAAGCCCTGCATTTGAGCCCCAACTCTTGCTCTATCACCCAGGCTGGAGTGCAGTGGTATGATTTTGGCTACCAGGTTCAAGTGATTCTCGTGCTTCAGCCTCCTGAGTAGCTGGCATTACAGGCAAACCCCGTCTCTATTTAAAATACAAAAATTATCCACCATGCCTGGGTAATTTTTGTATTTTTAATAGAGACGAGGTTTCACCATGTTGGCCAGGCTGGTCTTGAACTCCTGGCCTCAAGTGATCCACCCACTTTGGTCTCCCAAAGTGCTGGGATTATAGGTGTGAGCCACCGTGCGCTTTGCCACCAGGTCTGTATTCTCCTCTTAGTTCCTTTCTCTGTAGCCTGCAGAGTGCAGTAGCACCTGCCTAGTGGGGCTCTTGGTAAGGCTAGGAACCACTGCGTTCTGAACCCCACTTGTACTAGGGGCTCAGTAACAAGCAGCTGCCAGTGTGGTTCTTGTGTCCCAGGACCTTGCCTGTTGTCTGGGTCTGACCAGCAGACCCTGACCCAGTGATGGATAAACAGATGCACTCAGACACAGATATCCAGTGAAAAGAGTGGACTTAGGGGTCCGGAGCACTCACTGATACCGAGAAGGATTGGGTAAAGAGTTAGCAGCCATGACCCGTCAGCCAGTGAAGTTCACATTTGTTTAGTACAGATTAAATGACAAAGGTATTGAGTAAATGCCGCTAGAGGGTAATTGACATTGTGGACCTCCCAAGTAGAGAGCAATCATGCACCTCCAGATAATCAAAGGTTGGTCTTAAGACTACATGAGTAAACAAGCAATTTAGGTAAGGTCCTCTACGTTCTTACGTATCTATGCCCTAAGCTTTTTTTTTTTTTTTTTTTTTTTTAAGATGGGGTTTCACCATGTTGGTCAGGTTGGTCTTGAACTCCCGACCTCAGGTGATCCACCTGCCTTGGCCTCCAAAGTGCTTGGATTATAGGCGTGAGCCACCATGCCTGGCCACCCTAAGCTTTTAATTCAGATGCCTTCAGCCAAACCTTTTACTGAAGCTGAGCACCCCCCCACCCCGCCTTCCAAGAAGATTGTGACTATTTACTGTAACTATATAATTTGTCCTCTAAGATGTTTCCCACCACCCTGACTGAACTGCCACAGCCTGTCACCTGAGGATCACAGTGTCTACTGTGCTCTTTAGAGGGAGGTCCAGCCTCCAGCACCCCAGGCTTCATTTGCATCCATCTCGCAGGCTCCAGCTCAGGCTCGTGCCCACCCACCAAGTTCCAGTGCCGCACCGGTGACTTATGCGTGCCCCTCAACTGGCGCTGTGACAGTGACGAGGACTGCCCTGATGCCAGTGATGAGGAGGAGTGCCGTGAGTGGCCATGCCCAGGGGCAGGGCTTACAGGGGGTGGGGCCTGTGGGTGGGATGTGAGGGGCCAAGGTGCATGGAGGTGGAGCTTGTGGGAAAGGCAGGGCCACAGGGGTAGGTGGGACTTGGGTCTGTGGGTCATAAGAAGAAGCGGGATCTAAGATGGACTTGGGCTGGGCACGGTGGCTCATGCCTGTAATCCCAGCACTTTGGGAGGTTAGGGTGGGAGGATTGCTTGAATCCGGGAGTTTGAGACCAGCCTGGACAACATAGTGAGACCCCCTCTCTACAGAAGATAAAAAATTAGCCCTGCATGGTGGTATACACATGTAGTCCTAGCTACTCAGGAGGCTGAGGTAGAAGGATCACTTGAACCTGGGAGGTTGAGGCTGCAGTGAGTTAAGATTGCACTAGTGCACTTCAGCCTGGGCAAGAGAGTGAGACTCTGTATCAGGAATAAAAAAAAGAAAGAAAGAGAAAAAAGAGAAAGGAAGGAAAGAAAGCAAAAGAAAGGGCCAGGTGTGGTGGCTCATGCCTGTAATCCCAGCACTTTGGGAAGCCTAGGCTGGCAAATCACTTGAGGTCAGGAGTTCAACACCAGCCTGGCCGACATGATGACACCCTATCTGTACTAAAAATACAAAAATTAGCCGAGTGTGATGGCAGCCCTCTGTAATCCCAGCTACTCGGGAGGCTGAGGCAGGAGAATTGCTTGACCCCAGGAGGCGGAGGTTGCAGTTAGCCGAGATTGCACCACTGCACTCCAGCCTGGGTGGTGGGGCGAGACTCTATCTCAAAAAAAAAAAAAAAGAAAAACAAATAGAATAAAGTGGGCTTGTAGGAAGGTAGAGCTAGTGGAGTCTTGGGGGAAGAGCTTGCAGGGAGGTCTGTCTTTAGAAGGTAGAATTAACAGTTGCAGGGGATGGAGCTAGGAAGGATACACTTTTTGGACTCAGCTGTTCTTAGAGGGTAGGGCTTGCAGGGGACTGGGTTGCAGGGAGTACCTGGGCCTTCTTGGGTGGGCATTTGGGACCTGACTGACCCTGTGCACCAGCGATTGAGCCGTGTACCCAGAATGGACAATGCCCACCGCCCCCTGGCCTCTGCTCCTGCACTGGCGTCAGTGACTGCTCCGGGGAAACCGACGAGAAACTGCGCAACTGCAGCCGCCCGACCTGCCCAGCAGGAGAGCTCCATTGCACGCTGAGCGATGAATGCATTCCACTCACATGGCTCTGCGATGGCCACCCAGACTGTTCCGACTCCAGTGACGAGCTCAGCTGTGGTGCGCACCTGTGGGGGTGGGGCGGACTGGTGGGTAGACGGGACTACCCACTGCCTGCTGTGGGGTGACCAGGCTGGGGGTGTGGACACGTGGCTCTGCCAGTGGGGTTCTGCCTGTGGGGGCCGCAAGACATCTTTAGGGACAAGGCATGGTGGGTTATGCCTGTAATCCCAGGACTTGGGGAGGCTGAGGCAGGTGGATTATTTGAGGTCAGGAGTTCAAAACCAGTTGGCCAACATGGTGAAACCCCGTCTCTACTAAAAATACAAAAGTTAGCTGGGCGTGGTGGCACACACCTGTAATCCCAGCTACTCGGGGGGCTGAGACAGGAGGATCGCTTAAACCCAGAAGGCGGAGGTTGCAGTGAGCCAATATTGTGCCATTGCACTCCAGCCTGGGTGACAGAGCCAGACTCCCTCTAAAAAAAAAAAAACAGTAACATAATGACAGGCAGCAGTCAGCTTCACCCAGCCTGGGTTGGAAGATAAACCCTAAGGGCTCTCCTGGGCCCCTGGCCCCCTCATGCCTTCAGTGCCCTCCCCTCAACAACTGAAATGCCTGGGCTAATTGCAGGAACCAGTGAGACCCTCCTGAAAGGGAATGCCACAACTATGGGGCCCCCTGTGACCTTTGAGAGTGTCACCTCTTTCGGGAATGCAACGTCCTCTGGAAGACCAAGTGCCTATGGGGTTATAGCAGCTGCCGGTGAGATGGACTTACCCTCCCATGTAGGAGGCTTAGAGCTCCATGGGATTCAGGGGAGGTGGTTGGGGAGTGATGAGCTGCAGAACTCCCATCTCCATGTGGGTGGAGCTTGGTGAGTGTGGGGGCTCTTGCCTTCCCCTCTCCTTACTCCTCTGTCCATCTGTTCCCCACAGTGGTGCTTAGTACAAGCCTGGTGGCCGCCACCCTCCTCCTTTTGTTCTGGCTCCGAGCCCAGGGGCGTCTCTGCCCACTGGGGCTGCTGGTGAACGTGAAGGAGTCCCTGGTGCTGTCAGAACGGAAAACCTTTCTGATCTGAGGACAAACACTGGCCACCACCATCACCCAGCCCTGGGTGCAGCCAGGCAGGAGGTGATCAGTGATGTGGACCGCGATATAGGCGTGCCAGCCCTCAGAGACCAGGGCTGTTCTGGCCACGTGGAACCTCCAACCTCAAACTTGAGCTCCTGCAGAAGCGGCCCTGGAGATTCAGAGTCCCTGAACATTCCCTATGGAGACCTGGGGAGCTTGGATGGGGAACACACTATAGCCAGAACCGAGGGGCCGGCCCCAGGTAGCTCCCAGGAGGTGGAACGACCCCGTGCTGAAGACACTCCTGCTGCCCCATCAGAGGGCGGTGAATAAAGTTGCTTCACAAGCTCTGCCTGCCTCTGGGTCTCTGTCTCCCTCAGCCTGGGCAGCCTGGGGACTCTGCTGCAGCCCCACCTCCATGAGAGGCTGGGCCGTAGAAGGTGGGACATGGAGACCCAGCCCTGGGTGCAGCTACTGTGCCTCTTGCTTTTTGGGAGCAGGGGAGGCAGGGCTGGGGTGGGTAGGCAGGGCTGGGGTGGGGAGTCTGCGTTAACTTCAGGCTTCTTGAAAGAAGAGCAGAGCTTGGGCAGTGCCTTCCTGTTCCCAGGTAAGGAGACCCTCATTCAACATGGCCTCCTCCCCAGTGCAATGGAAGCCAGGAATCCTCGGACTCACCCTGTTTTAATTATTTATTATTATTTTGAGATGGAGTCTTGCTCTGTTGCTCAGGCTGTAGTACAGTGGCACAATCTTGGATCACTGCAACCTCCGCCTCCCAGGTTCAAGTGATCCTGCCTCAGCCCCCCTAGTAGCTGGAATTACAGGCATGCACCACCATGCCTGGCTAATTTTTGTGCTTTTAGCTGAGACGGGGTTTTGCCATGGTGGCCAGGCTGGTCTCAAACTCCTGACCTCAGATGATCTACTTGCTTTGGCCTCTCAAAGTGCTGGGATTACAGATGTGAACCACCATGGCCTGCCTATTATTTTTTATTATTTAGAGACAGGGTCTTGGCCATGTGCAGTGGCTCACACCTGTAATCCCAGCACTTTGGGAGGCTAAGGTGGGCGTGTTGTGGAAATTCAACCTGAGAAGAATAAAGAGACCAAGAAACACAAGAGAATCTCTTTATTGGAGCTCCGGCTGATGGCGGCCTCACTGCCCATAATGGCTGCCAGCCCTGAACAAAGAGAACGCATTGCCTTTGTACAATTTGAGGCGGGGAAACAAGGCAGGGAACAAGTTTTGGACAAAGACAGTTAATCAGGTTTTACAGTCTTGGGCTTCTGGTTATTTGTCTATAACCTTGCAGCTGAGGTAGGAGGTGGAAAGGTTGAGGAGGACACCAGAAAAACAGGAATTGCAGATGTATATGCGGGCTGCAGACCTAAAGATATGCTCTGGTGCTCTTATCTGCATAGGGAGGGGGTTGAACTGGGTCTGCTTTGCCTCTACTTTCTCTAAACACAGGTTTTATGACTAGCCTGGAATGTGGGCTGTGAGATAAGTTTGCAGCTGCAGTTGGTTAGGCTAAGCTGGGAGGGGTTACTTATTTTTGCTTACTGTGATTTTTCCTTATGACCTAGTCCTAATGTCAACTATTATTCTAATTTTTATTTTTTTGAGACAGAGTCTCGACTTGTTGCCCAGGCTGGAGTGCAATGGCGTGATCTCTGCTCACCGTAACCTCCGCCTCCTGAGTTCAAGTGATTCTCCTGCTGTAGCCTCCTGAGTAGCTGGGATTACAGGCATGTGCCACTGTGCCTGGCTAATTTTGTATTTTTAGTAGAGATAGGGTTTCTCCATGTTGGTCAGATTGGTCTCAAACTCTCGACCTCATGTGATCCACCCACCTCAGCCTCCCAAAGTGCTGGGTGAGCCACTGCGCCCAGCCTTATTCTATTTTAATTCTGTCTTTGATTTTATTTTCCTCCTAATTCTCCCCTTAAAAGCTTTCTTTGAAAGGATTTTATTACTAGAAAGCTTTTTTCTTTTCTTTCTTTCTTTTTATTTATTTATTTTTATTTTCGGCAGGTGAATTGTTACACACTCCTTAACAGATTCCGACTTCCATGGCCACTGTCCTGCTTTTTTTTTGAGACTTACTTTACAGTTCACATGATACCAGGATGGAGTGGTCAGCCTGTCATTGAAGTGTTACTGTTCGTTTGCTCAAGTGCAAAACTAGCTCGCCAGTGTCCCTTCTCCTGTTGTCATCTGTTTTGGACATCCTGACGGCAGGAGTAGGCAAACTCCTTCGGCTCCGGTTGGGCTCTCTGTGGCTGTGCGTGTGTTAGGTCGCCTCCCTCTCTGGGGGGTCTTACCGTCATCGACTACCAGCCGTCCATCTGGTTACAGGGCACGCAGTATCATTGGAGGCTTTTGCTTAGTCTGGAAGACAAGACTGGAGCTGGGTTACACTTTAGCAAGCTGCTTCATTAGGTGTTGTAACCTAATGGTTATACTTCATGATTTGGCCTACAAGCTCTTTACCTGCGCATCTGTACTTCTTGTGATTCAGAAAGGGAACAAAAGGCTGGATGTGGTGGCTCATGCCTATAATCCCAGCACTTTGGGAGGCTGAGGCGGGCAGATCACTGGAGGTCAGGAGTTTGAGACCAGCCTGACCAACGTGGTGAAACTCTGTCTCTACTGAAAAAAAAAAAAAAATTAGCCAGGTGTGGTGGCAACATGCCTGTAATCCCAGCTACTAGGGAGGCTGACGCAGGAGAATCACTTGAACCCGGGAGGTGGAGGTTGCAGTGAGCCCAGATCACACCATTGCCCTCCAGCCTGGGCAACAAGAGCCAGACTCTGTCTCAAAAAACAAACAAAAAAGGGAACAGAAGAAGGCAGAGTATGAGGAAGGAAAATACATTTAGGTGAGTCCTACATTGGTACTATACTCATCTGTCTCTTCACCATGTGGGTTCTCTTCCTCTGAGGACAAAGGCTGATACTTAGTTAAAGCCATCATTTGGTGGTAGTGTGCCTAGCCACTGCTGCCTCTATGGTTGATCGTATACGTCTAAATAAAAGAGGTAAGAGGCAAGGGAGTATTAGGCATCCGTCTAATATGAGAATTACGCTCCCTATAAGAGTTCTGAAGCTACCAAAACACGAAAACAGACCACTGAAAAGAATCTGGAGACCACCTTTTCCAAGTCTGGACCAGGACATGGGCCAGTTTCTGCATTCTGGCAGTGATTTCCATTACTACTTGTCCATTGTCATCAATTTCTTTTTTTTTTTTTTGAGACAGAGTCTCGCTCTGTCACCCAGGCTGGAGTGCAATCGTGCGATCTTGGCTCACTGCAACCTCAGCCTTCTGGGTTCCAGTGATTCTCCCTGCCTCAGCCTCCCGAGTAGCTGGGATTTCAGGTGCCTGCCACCGTGCCCAGCTAATTTTGTATTGTTAGTAGAGATGGAGTTTCCCCATGTTAGCCAGGCTGGTCTTGAACTCCCGACCTCAGGTGATCTGCCTGCCTCAGCCTCCCAAAGTGCTGGGATTACAGGCGTGAGACACCACACTCAGCCCATTGTCATCAATTTCTAAACAACAATTGGTTAGGTTAAATTTTCCACAAACCCCTCCTTCTGAGGCCAGGAGATAGTCTAGTGCTACGCTATTCTGGTATATTGCATTTCTCATCTGTGTGGCTTGTACGGCTAGCAAGTCTAAAGCTGTGGATGTTTCATTGGTTATAATTTCCAGGACTGCCTGTAACCTAATGATGTGGTTTATCATATAGATGGGAGTGTGATATCCCCACATCCCATCTTGCACCCAAGTAGCTGGACCATAATAATTCTTTCTGGGGGCCAGGCTGTCTTTCCAGTCTCTTATTTGTACCTCTTCCCTCCCTTCCCCTCCCCTCTCCTCCCCTTCAGTTCCCTCCCCTCTCCTTCTCTTTCTTTCAATGGAGTTTTGCCTCTGTTGCCCAGGCCGGAGTACAATGGCACAATCTCAGCTCACTGCAACCTCCACTCCACCTCTGGGGTTCAAGCGATTCTCTTGCCTCAGCCTCCCAAGTAGCTGGGATTACAGGCATGTGCCACCATGCCCTGCTAATTTTGTATTTTCAGTAGAGACGAGGTTTCTCGATGTTGGTCAGGCTGATCTTGAACTCCCGTCCTCAGGTGATCCACCCGCATCAGCCTCCCAAAGTGCTGGGATTACAGGTGTGAGCCCCCGCATCTGGCCTGTACATCTTTAAGTTCACCGCTTACTTGTTTCTATCTTTGGATTCATCATAAATGGGGTATCCTAAAACTTTTAGGGAGAGCAAGAAAAATGATGGCTTAATAATTCCCAGCACACAAGTCCCTGTCCATTTTTTGGCAGCTACCAATAAGCCCATTGGCCACATATCCAATAAAGGCCTGTGAGCGCCTGCCAAGCATTTGGTGCCTCTAGTTGATACCAGGAGTGGTTTAAGGAAGAAAATCTAGAAAATGGGTTGAATCGAGGTGGTTTGGAACTGCTCTTACCTCATTTGTTTTGTCTCTGCATAGGGTCTTTTCTGTAGTTTCCTTGTAATACTTCTGTCCTAGACATGCTAGTTCACCTACTGGGTTGGTGTAGGCAGCTCCCCAACAGGCAATACAGTACCTTCCTATGATGGAAGCCTTTAGGAGCGAGGTACTGGAGCTGGTAGATGAAAGCTCTGGAGAGTTTGAGGCAAGAAGGGTTAAAGTGTGATTATCTTGGGGTAGCAATTCCTTCGCCTCCCAGGCCCATTGGTTCGCCATGTTAGTTCCTCCACATACGTAACATAACTCCCACATTTCCTGCTATATTTTCAGCTAACTGAGCAAACAGACTTTTTTCTTTTTTTTTTTTGAGACAGAGTTTTGCTCTTGTTGCCCAGGCTGGAGTGCAATGGTGTGATCTCAGCTCACCACAACCTCCACCTCCCAGGTTCAAGCGATTCTCCTACCTCAGCCTCCCTAGTAGCTGGGATTACAGGCATGTGCCACCACGCCTGGCTAATTTTGTATTTTTAGTAGAGACGGGAGTTCTCCATGTTTGTCAGGCTGGCCTCGAACTCCCAACCTTAGGTGATTCATCCATCTCAGCCTCCCAAAGTGCTGGGATTACAGGCATGAGCCACTGTGCCCAGCCTGCAAACAGATTCTTAGTAGTAGAGGGTGGCTCAGGAATTGCTTGGTTAAAATGCTCCTTAAATGACTTGAAGACCCAAAACTGCTGCTGTGGTTGATGAGCTCAGGTCTTTTTGACACTATAGAAAAACACAGTGCCCTCTTCTGCCCAGGTTTTAAGATATACTACACTGGCCGGGCGCGGTGGCTCAAGCCTGTAATCCCAGCACTTTGGGAGGCCGAGGTGGGCAGATCACGAAGTCAAGAGATCGAGACCATCCTGGCCAACATGATGAAACCCGGTCTCTACTGAAAATACAAAAAAAAAAAAAAAAAAAAAAATTAGCTGGGCGTGGTGGTGTGTGCCTGTAGTCCCAGCTACCTGGGAGGCTGAGGCAGGAGAATTGTTTGAACACGGGAGGTGGAGGTTGCAGTGAGCCGAGATTGCGCCATTGCACTCCAGCCTGGCACCTGGCGACAGAGCAAGACTCTGTCTCAAAAAAAAAAAAAAAAAAGATATGCAACACCTAACCTTCTTTTCTCGGCATTTTCTTCATCTACCTTGGTAAGGTTACTGTATCCTGTGGGTACTTTGATACCTGTGGTCCAAATAGGTGAATCTGGGTCTGAAACAGTGACGTTTACGAGACTGCGGGCTCTCTGAGTTACAGTGCCTTCACCTGCTACCTCACAGTTATCAGAATCATACCAAGGTATAGCATCACTAATCCAAAGGGGGATTTGAAGAAACAAAACCTGTTCTTTTTAAGGATTATAGGTTATGCAATTGAGCCAGGTGCACACATTTACAATTTTTCTTTCTTTTTTTTTTTTCAGACGGAGTTTTGCTCTTGTTGCCCAGGCTGGAGTGCAATGGCAAATTCTCGGCTCACCGCAACCTCTGCCTCCTGGGTTAAGGCAAATCTCCTGTCTCAGTCTCCCAAGTAGCTGGGATTATAGGCATTTGCCACCACATCCAGCTAATTTTTTTATTTTTTATTTTTTATTAGAGACATGTTGGTGGGTCAGGCCAGTCTCAAACTCCTGACCTCAGGTGATCCACCCACCTCGGCCTCCCAAAGTGCTGGGATTACAGGCGTGAACCACTGCACCCGGCCACAGTTATGATTTTTCTAAAGTTTTTCAGGTAGCAAGTTTGGGCTACAGCTATTTTCTTATTTTTAAGAAGTGTTTTGGTGGCCTGACAGGCATCTAAGTATAAGGATATGTTTCCTTGATGAGAAGGGGTATCCAAGTTGAGTTGTAGAGGGTTCCTTCCCTCGATCCTTCATGGAGCTCAAACAAAGTTCTGGGCAAAAGTTTAGGCTCATAGCATATATAAGGCTGATCATCACCAGGATCACCAATTGAATAGGTAGTTTGATTATACATGCAAGTTTTCCTGTACATATAATGGGTCTGGTATATAAAAATTTTGACTAGGCTGGGCATGGTGGCTCATGCCTATAATCCCAGCAGCATTTTGGGAGGCCTAGGCAGGTGGATCACCTGTGGTCAGAAGTTTGAGACCAGCCTGGCCAACGAGGTGAAACCCCATCTCTACTAAAAATACACAGATTAGCTGGGCATGGTGGTAGGTGCCTGTAGTCCCAGCTATTTGGGAGGCTGAGACAGGAGAATTGCTTTAACTGGGCAGTGGAGGTTGCAGTAAGCAGAGATTGTGCAATTGCACTCCAGCCCCGGCAATGGAGCGAGACTCTGTCTCAAAAAAAAAAGTTTTGACTTGTGTGTTCCCCATCCATGTAGTGTGGGTGCACATAGGACATCCATCCCAAACTTCCCCCCTTTCTAAGCTTGCCACAAAGGCTAACATGAGCAAAGCAGAAAATAACATTTTTACATGTGACCTGCCCGCCTTGGCAAGGAATGTCTTTTGAGGAACAGCAACAGTGGCAGCTCAACCGCAGAACAACAGATATTTCTAGAATAGCACCAGGTATTAAGATTTCAGTCCACATTGCTGGGTGCGGTGGCTCACGCCTGTCATCTCAGCACTTTGGGAGGCTGAGGTGGGTGGATCACCTGAGGTAAGGAGTTTGAAACCAGCCTGACTAACATGGTGAAACCCCGTCTCTACTAAAAATGCAAAAATTAGCCAGGCATGGCGGCAGGTGCCTGTGTCCATTATTCTGGAGGCTGAAGCAGGAGAATTGCTTGAACCCAGGAGGTAGAGGTTGCAGTGAATTGAGATCACACCACTTACTCTAGCCTGGGTGACAGAACGAGACTCTGTCTCAAAAAAAAAAAAAAGATTTCAGTCCACATTTACTTATCCGGTAAAGACTGCTTTGTCTGTGCGTTGACTAATCAGCCTCCAGTTGTGTGACTAGCGCAGGGCTTGGCAAGTCCTCAGGGTCGGCGGTGTCTGGGGCAGGACTGGGTTGGTCTTGGTCCTTATGGATGATGCGTCTTAAAGTCATCTTGGTGGGATGCTTAGGGTCTGGTTGGCTGGTCCATCTGTCTTCGGCCACCGCAGGCTTTAGTTGGCTGTCGTGGATCCAGGACACTACTTCAGCAATCTTAACAGCAGTAGGGGTGGACAGGATTACAAGAAAGGGCCTATCCCACATGGGTCGAATGCTGAAACATGCTCTGAATGAAGAGAACCCCCAAACAGGCTTTGTGTGAGCAAAGCTGTCTATTAAACCGGGTGCAGGCAGGCTGAGTCTGAAAAGGAAGTCAGCGAAGGGCGGAGGGATAGGAATTGGTTTTATAGGTTTGGGATGGGCAGTGGAAAGTTACAGAAGTTACAGTTGGCGGTTTTTTGGCAAGCTGGGAGGGGGTCTTAGGTTTGCAAGCTGGGAGTGGGTTGTAGGGTGTGGAGTCACAGGTTGACCAAGGTCCGTTACAAAGTCCAATGGCCTTGTCACTTGAGGCCGAATAAGAAACAATAGAGGAATGTCTCAGGTTAGTTAGGAGCCGCAGGGGTTGATCATCCTTCCACTTTCCAGTTACTTCAGGTTTTCTAATTCCAGAAAGCCTCCAGAGGTGTACATGCAGGTCAAGGGGGTCGCCATGCAGTGCACAGTGCGGTCAGACCTTACAGGTTCCAGTTTGGTCAGGTTCCATTACTTAACCCAGACAGAGTCCCCCGGTTTAAATGAGTGAATTGGATTTGTTAGACTGATAGGTATTCTTTCTTGCACCCAGCTTTGCACTTGGTTCATAGCTATACCTCATGCTTGCTTTGGTCTTTTTAATGTTAATTCCCCTATCTCTTTGAGGTCATCTTATATCTGGCTATCAAGGGGAGGTGGTGTCTTGAACAGAATTTCATAAGGCCAATACCCAGTTTGTTGGATGTTCTGGTTGGGGTGCCTCTAACTCGGAGGAGGACCACGGGCCAAACATGATCCCAACATCAATGGGTCTCTTGGCAGAGTTTCTTTAATAGCTGTTTTAATGTCTGATTCATTCACTCTACCTTCTCTGAGCTCTGGGGCGGGTAGGCAGTGTGTAGTTTCCAATTAATTTTTAGGAGCCAAGAAAGACTCTGGACAATTTCAGCTGTGAATGCTGGTCCCTTGTCAGACCCGAGAGTTAGAGGCACCCCAAATCTAGGAATAATACCTTCTTGTTGTTGTTGTTGTTGAGACGGAGTCTCGCTCTGTCGCTGAAGTGCAGTGGTGTGATCTCGGCTCACTGCAACCTCCACCTCTGGGGTTCAAGCGATTATCCTGCCTCAGCCTCCCAAGTAGCTGGGACTACAGGTGTGCACCACCATGCTCAGCTAATTTTTGTGTTTTTAGTAGAGATGGGGGTTTCACCATGTTGGCCGAGCTGGTCTCGAACTCCTGACCTCGTGATCTGCCTGCCTTGGCTTCTCAAAGTGCTGGGATTACAGGTGTGAGCCAACGTACCTGGCTGGAATAATATCTTTTAACAATGCTCTAGTTACCTCCCTGGCTTTTTCAGTGTGAGTGGGGAAAGCTTCTGTCCACCTAGAGTAGGTGCAGACAGACACCAGCGTATACCAATAGCATCTGACTCGGGACATTTTGGTAAAGTCTACAGGCAAGTTTTCACATGGGGTTGCTCCTACTTCTTGAACTCCCGGGGGTGGACTGGCCCTTGCGGTGGGTTGTTTTGTGCACATCTTTTGTTAAGCATCTCTCACAAACCGAACAAGTTACAGCAGTGAGATGTGGCACATAAAAATGCCACTTGATGGAAGCCTCCCAAGCTGTTTTTCCCATGTGTGTCCCTTCATGAAATTGCTTTACAAACTTAGGGGCCATTATGTCAGGGATGGCTAGCCTCCAGTCCAAGAATTGCCACCAACCTCCTTTGATATAGTGTCCAGCCTCCTGAGCAAACAAGGCCTTTTCACTAGAGGAAGAATTTGGTTCTTCCATAGGTAGAGGTTCTGGAAGGAGAGGCATTGCTACAACTTGGTTCTGTGGTGGGGGAGCTGTCATAGTGAGGGACGAGACCCTTCTCCTGTCTTGAGATGCAAGTCTGCCAGTGCTCCCGGCCGAATAAAGCCACTTCCTTCTTTAAATTTGGTGTCTGGGAGGTTTCACCTGCGGCTTGCCCTGCTACAGTAGCAGCTTGCTTAGCTTTCCCGTCTGCTTTTCTGTTCCCTCTGGATTCATAGGAAGCATCTGGCTGATGTCCCTTGCAGTGCATGACAGCTGCCTTTTCTGGTGCCCACACAGCGTCCAAAAGCTGCAGAATGTCCTCCTTGTTCTTTCTTTCTTTCTCTCCTGATGTAAGGAGGCCTCTTTCCTTGTATATGGCTTCACGGACACGCAGTATAGCAAAGGCATATTTAGAGTCAGTATAGATATTAGCTACTTTTCCTTTTGCCAGCAACAAGGCCTTGTTAAAGCAATCAGCTCGGCCTTTTGAGCTGATGTTCCTTCAGGCAAGGACTGTGCCTCTATTTCTCAGCCATCAGTGGACCCAAATTCCTATGTTACTACAGCATACCCTGCTCCGTGGATTTCCTCTGAAATGAAACTGCTGCCTTCCGTGAAGTAGTCTACATCTGAACTGTTTAAAGGCTGATGGGTAAATCTTCCTGGCTTGAAAATACCTCATCCACTACATCTATGAAGTAATATTTGGGGGCTACTATGGGCTCTTTTTTTTGTTGTTTTTTGAGATGGAGTCTCTCTCTCTCTCTCTTGCTCAGGCTGGAGTGCAGTGGTGTGATCTTGGCTCACTGCCACCTCTGCCTCTCAGGTTTAAGCAATTCTCCTGCCTCAGTCTCCTGAGTAGCTGGGACTACAGGCGCATGCCACCACGCCCAGCTAATTTTTTTTGTATTTTTTAGTAGAGATGGGGTTTCACCATGTTGGCCAGGATGGTCTCAAACTCCTGACCTTGTGATCTGCCTGCCTTGGCCTCCCAAAGTGCTGGGATTACGGGCGTGAGCCACCGCGCCCAGCCTGTGAGCTCCTCTATAGGTAACAGCGTGGCTGAATTTAAAGTGTTTGCTGTTTCCATGACTGTGTTAGGGTTTTCACATAAGCCCTTGAGACCTGGTCATTCTTGGGTTACACAGCCAGAGCTGTCCTTTCTGGTTTAGCAGGGTAATTACTGTATGCAGCACTTGGATAATAACTTTTGTTCCAAAGTTAATTTAACAGCTTCCTGGACCAGCAGGGCCGTAGTCGCTATTGCCTTGAAGCAGTGGGGCCAGCCTAGTGCCACAGAGTCCAACTGTTCAGAAAGACATGCCGCAGGCCAGCGCCATGACCTTAGCATTTGCTTTAAGACCCCCACAGCTGTTGCCTTTCTTTTATTCACATATAGGAAGAAAGGTTTAGTTTGGTCAGGGAGTTCCTAAGGCTGGGGCTTGGATTAGAACTTTTTAAATTTCTTTTTTTTTTTTTTTTTTTTTGAGACAGTCTTGCTCTGTCGCCCAGGCTGGAGTACAGTGGTGCAATCTTTGCTCACTGCAACTTGCACCTCCTGGGTTCAAGTAATTCTCCTGCCTCAGCCTCCCAAGTAGCTGGGACTATAGGGGCCTGCCACCACACCTGGCTAATTTTTTTTTTTTTTTTTTTGAGATGGAGTCTCACTCTGTCTCCCAGGCTGGAGTGCAATGGCACGGTTTCAGTTCACTGCAACCTTCATTTCTTGGATTCAAGCAATTTTCCTGCCTCAGCCTCCTGAAGAGCTGGGATTACAGGCACCTGCCACCATGCCCGGCTAATTTGTGTATTTTTAGTAGAAACGAGGTTTCACCAGGTTGGCCAGGCTGATCTCAAACTCCTGACCCGGTGATCCACCTGCCTCAGCCTCCCAACGTGCTGGGATTATGGCACCCGCCACCACACCTGGCCAATTTTTTTGTATTTTTAGTAGAGACAGGGTTTCACCATGTTGGCCAGGCTAGTCTTGAACCCCTGACCTCGTAATCTGCCTACCTTGGCCTTCCAAAGTGCTGGGATTACAGGGGTGAGCCACCACACCCGGCCAAACTTTTTTTTTTTCCTGAGACGGAGTCTTGCTCTGTCATCAGGCTGGAGTGCAGTGGTGCAATCTCGGCTCACTGCAACCTCCGCCTCCTCTTCCGCCTCAGCCTCCCGAGTAGCTGGGACCACAGGTGCATGCCATCACGCCTGGCTAATTTTTGTATTTTTAGTAGAGACGGGGTTTCACCATGTTGGCCAGGATGGTCTCACTCTCTTGACCTTGTGATCTGCCCACCTTGGCCTCCCACCCTGCCCAGCCTTGCTTTTACAATTTCTTTGAAAGCCTTTGCTTGACTTGTTAACAAGAGGGGCTCCTTTCCCTCCCCCACTTTTGTAGCTTCATATAGGGGTTTTGGTATAAGTGAGAAATTTGGAATCCAAATGCAGCAGAAGCCTGCTGCCCCTAAAAATTCTCCGATTTGGCACTGAGTGGTTGGGGTAGGAAGCACACACACAGCACACATGTGGCGTGTTTTCATTGGCTGAGCTCTCTTTTCCCCTGGCTTACTACAAAACCTAAACACCTAAGCCTTTGTAAACAAATCCCCACCTTTTTCTTTGAAACTTTGTATCCAGCTTCCCATAAAAGGTGGCTGAGATTCTCTGTGCCCTTTGTGATCCACCCACCTCGGCTTCCCAAAGTGCTGGGATTACAGGCATGAGCCACTGCGCCTGGCCAATTTTTTTGTATTTGTAGTGGAAATGGGGTTTCACCATGTTGGCCAGGCTAGCCTAGAACTCCTGACCTCGTGATCTGCCCTCCTTGGCCTCCGAAAGGTGGAGGTAATCTACGTATTGAAGAAGGACACATTCATCATTAGGTGGAACAAAGGCACTAAGGTCTGAAGCTAGGGCTTCCTCAAACATGGTGCGGGAATTAAAGAATTTTTGAACCCTTGAGGAAGTCTGGTCCAGGTGCACTGGCTGTCTCCCCAGTGGAAGGCAAAAATGGGCTGACTCGCAGGAGTTAGTCTAAGACAAAAGAAGGCGTATTTTAGGTCTAAACATGTAAACCAGGTGCACTGGCAGGAATTTGTCCAAGCAAAGTGTATGGGTTAGGTACTACTGGATGAATTGTGACCACAGCATGGAGATCCTGTACAGGCCTGCCTTCACCAGATGGCTTGCACGTTCCAAGACAACTTACACTTTATAAGAATCCTGTGCTTGTAAAGCTACTCTTGGCTGGGCGCAGTGGCTCACGCCTGGAATCCCAGCACTTTGGGAGGCTGAGGTGGGAGGATCACCTGAGGTCAGGAGTTTGAGACCAGCCTGGCCAACATGGAGAAACCTCATCTCTACAAAAAATACAAAAAAATTAGCTGGGCGTGGTTGGCGGGTGCCTGTAATCCCAGCTACTGGGGAGGCTGAGGCAGGAGAATCTCTTCAACCTGGTAGGCAGAGTTTGCAGTGAGCCGAGATCACACCACTGGACTCCAGTGAGAGAGTGAGACTCTGTCTCAAAAAAAAAAAGCCACTCTATATGTTCCTGGATGCCTATTACGGCACCTGCAAAAATTGGGTAAAGGTGAACCTGTACTGCCTCTACTGGGGAAGCTCCTGGAAATAACTTTACAAAGACTGGTGCCTGGTTCGTTGCCAGCCTGGGCGGGCTGTCTTCCAGGTATTCTCATAACTGGTCTGTCTACCTCACATGCTGGCGTATGTACTGATTGAGCTCCTTCTTTTACCCACTGTGCTTGGCTATTGGTTTTGTGCTTATCAGGGCAATCTTTTTTCCAAGGTCCTTCTTTCTTGCAAATTGCATGTTGGTTTCTTCCTCGTCTGAATTGGCCTCCTGCTTCACTCTCCTCTCTCCCTCGGCCTCGGCCTCGGCCCTGGCCCTGTCCTCACCTTCTTCTAGAGTTATCTCCTCTGCTAGCTAGGGCAGCTAGTACTGTAGCCTGTGCCACAGCCATTACCTCAGCCTTTTCCTTTAGTTTCTGTTTTGCCTTTTGTTCCTCTTCCCGATCACGGTTTATGAACACTTGGGGGGGCTATTGATATAAGCTCAGTGGCATTCTTTTTTTTTTTTTTTTTGAGATGGAGTCTTGCTCTGTCTCCTAGGCTGGAGTGCAGTGGTGCTATCTTGGCTCACTGCAACCTCCGCTTCCCGGGTTCAAGTGATTCTCCTGCCTCAGCCTCCTGAGTAGCTGGGATTACAGGTGTGTGCCACCATGCCCGGCTAATTTTTGTATTTTTAGTAGAGACAGGGTTTCACCATGTTGGTCAGGCTGGTCTCGAACTCCTCACCTCGTAATTCGCCTGCCTGGGCCTCCCAAAGTGCTGGGAGTACAGGCATGAGCCACTGCAACCAGCCGCTCAGAGGCATTCTTGCCATCAAACCCTTCTAATTTCTGAAGCGGCTGCCTGATGTCACTCTGCGACTAACAAAGGCGGTGTTTTCCATTCTCTGATCTTCAGCAGCCTCAGGGTCAAAAGGAGTATAAAGCCTGTGAGCCTCACAGAGACTCATAGAACTGGCTGGGACTTTCCTCAACCTTTCATAGGACTTCTGAAATTTTCCCCATATTCATTGCCTTTCTCCCTCCTGACTTCACTCCACTTAGGAGGGCCTCCCTATATCTTTGTAAATGTTCAAATTGCTCAGGGTTATTAGGGTCCCAATTTGGGTCAGTATCAGGGAAACCAGCTTCTGCACAGAGCTGCATGTGCCTTCAGGCACATTGTTTCCCGCCCCTGCACTACTCTGTCTTTCTGTACTGAATAGCGTTACAAGCAGCTGCCGACAATCTGCCCATGTGGGGCTGCGAGTTAGAAAAATTGATCTCCTATCAATTACTGCTTGGGGCTTTTCTGTGTATGAAGGGTCATGATGTTTCCAGTTTAAGAGATCAGTTGTGGAGAAGGGCAAGTAGGAGTCGATGCATACTCCTCCTCTCACCTGGCCCTGTTCATCAAGATAAATTTGAGCCAGACTCACCTGGCCCTGTTCATCAAGATAAATTAGAGCCTGAGTTTCTCTGACCCGCATCTGCAGGGCATGGGTATCGCCAGATTGAAGCCACTGCAGGTCTTTCTGGAAGAGATCACAAGACAATTTCAGAGGCTGTGCGTTTCAGGAACTGTGGTTCCTGCCTATGTCCCTTGAACTTGGTTGGTAGGGGCGTGGGTCCCTGTCTGTGGGGCAATGCTCGAGCCCGACTGCTTTCTGAACTTGTTTCCTCAAAGGACATCTGCCCTAGTCTTGTCTGAGCCTTGCTGGGGATGGATATACGGAGGCATAGGGAGGAGGAGTTTCTAAGTCCTCAGGGCGGGGTGTGCGGGGCTGTAAAACGGGTTTCTCTTGGTTCCCTGGGTTTTTAGTTTCTTCTGGGGGCTTACATATTACAAGTTTTTCTGGCTTCCTTCGGACCTCCATGGGCGACCAGAGTCTTACAATATTTAACCACGCACAGGCCAAGCCACTTGGGCCGTGTCTAGATAACACTTAGCCAAGAGTCGATGTAGGGAAACTGATCGGAGGCCAGGACTGGCCTGTCGCCCCTGTTATTACTTCAAAAACTCTGCTGCTAATTTTACAGTTGAGAGTGCCCTCTGGCGGCCAACCAACTCCAAAGGCTGGCCACTTCGGCTCACAAAGAGCCCTTAATTTCTGAGGCGACAATTTTACACGATATTCCCCAGAAAGGCCTTTCTTGAAATTGTTTAGCATACGCTGCAAAGGAGGAGGCTTTCATTATTTTTTCCATTTTGATTCACCGCCTCCCGCCTTCACTCTCACGATGCACAATCACTCAGACTCTCGCCGCAGGCTGATCTGGTCAGGTCCTATTACGGGAGGTTCGGATGGTGCTTAGTCAGGAGGACCCCTAATCCCCCACGGTGCACCTGCCTTTCTTTGGACTGATGCTTCTTTGGACTGTATGTACCACCCTAGGACAGTCCAGCCACACGCTCATCTCGAGGTGCACAGTGCACGCTAAGGGATCTGTGTCTCCTCACGTCACTCCCTGCACTGGTTTCTCCTGGAACCGAATCTTTAGTGCACTTTCACACACCGCCCCGTCCCAAGACTCCTCAATGGACTTGGCAAGCTCCATCTCGCCACACTCTGGCGGTTTAAATTTCTCGATACTGACTTGGGAAGAACTATTCCTCCACTCTATCAATCAGCAAGCTCTGCCCTGCTGCTCTGTGTTGGCTGCCAGCTCAGCAGGCGCTATCCTGCTGCTCTCTGCTGGCTCTTAGGGTGTAAGGGTTGCCACCGGGTCCAGCAACCCCTGGATTGGGCTTCCCTTTTTTTTTTTTTTTTTTTTTTTTTTTGAGACAGAGTCTTGCTCTGTCGTTAGGCTGGAGTGCAATGGCACGATCTCAGTTCACTGCAATCTCCGCCTCCTAGGTTCAAGTGATTCTCCTGCCTCAGTCTCCCGAGTAGCTGGGATTACAGGCACGTGCCACTATTCCCAGCTAATTTTTGTATTTTTATAGAGATGGGGTTTCACCGTGTTGGCCAGGATGGTCTCAATCTCCTGACCTCATGATCTGCCTACCTTGGCCTCCCAAGATGCTGGGATTACAGGTTTGAGCCACCATGCCCAGCCTGGGCTTCTCTTAACCCTTGAGAGGTGATCAAGCTCTCACCTGCCCCCTACGACAGGATTTTCTCCATTCTCTACAATAAGATTTTCCTGTCCTCTACGACAGAAATTTTTTTTTCTTTTTTACTCTGTCTTGGGCCCTTGATGACTTACCACAGTTCCTGAAGCGCGCAGCCTCTGAAATTGTCTTGTCGTCTCTTCCAGGTTCCATTGTGCTGTCATGGGAAGGGCTCTGGGACGTGGGAGAGCCAAGCTCCTGTCTCGGGAAGCCGTCCCATTGGTGCATCTCAGGACTAGGGTCTCCCCAGACCCAGGGGCCTAAGCCCCACAGGCAAAGGAGACAGTAAGCCCGTTATCTCTGTTCTTCTGGATGGCACCTGGGTTTCAGCACCAAAATGTTGTGGAAATTTGAGCCGATAACAACAGAGAGACCAAGAAACACAAGAGAATCTCTTTACTGGAGCTCCGGCTGATGGCGGCCTCACTGCCCATAATGGCTGCCAGCCCTGAACAAAGAGAACGCATTGCCTTTGTACAATTTGAGGCGGGGAAACAAGGCAGGGAACAAGTTTTGGACAAAGACAGTTAATCAGGTTTTACAGTCTTGGGCTTCTGGTTATTTGTCTATAACCTTGCAGCTGAGGTAGGAGGTGGAAAGGTTGAGGAGGACACCAGAAAAACAGGAATTGCAGATGTATATGCGGGCTGCAGACCTAAAGATATGCCCTGGTGCTCTTATCTGCATGGGGAGGGGGTTGAACTGGGTCTGCTTTGCCTCTACTTTCTCTAAACACAGGCTTTATGACTAGCCTGGAATGTGGGCTGTGAGATAAGTTTGCAGCTGCAGTTGGTTAGGCTAAGCTGGGAGGGGTTACTTATTTTGGTGTACTATGATTTTTCTTTTTTTAATATATATATATATATTTTTTTTAAATACATATATTTTTAAATATATATTTAACTTGAACTCCTGACCTCAGGTGATCCGCCTGCCTTGGCCCCCAAAGTGCTCGGATTACAGGCGTGAGCCACTATGCCTGGCCACTATGATTTTTCTTAATGACCTAGTCCTAATGTTAACTATTACTTATTCTATCTTAATTCTGTCTTTGATTTTATTTTCCTCCTCAGGCATATCACCTGAGGTCAGGAGTTCAAGACCAGCTGGGCCAACATGGTAAAACCCTGGCTCTACTAAAACTACGAAAAATTAGCCAGGCGTGGTAGCACGCACCTGTAATGCCAGCTACTCAGGAGGCTGAGGCAGGAGAATCGCTTGAACCTGGGAGGCAGAGGTTGCAGTGAGCTGAGATTGCGCCACTGCACTCCAGCCTAGGCAACAAGAGTAAGACTTTTTTCCAAAAACAAAAAAAAGAGAGAGAGAGAGAGGCTCAAGATAGAGGCTGGGTGCCGTGGCTCATGCCTGGAATCTCAGCACTTTTGCAGAATTACGTGAGCCCAGGAGTTTGGGACCAGCCTGGGCAACATTGGGAGACTCTGTCACTGCAAAAAATTAACAAATTAGCCAGTCATGGTGGCGGGTGCCTGTAGTCCCTCTACCTTATTTTAAAATAGGTTTTAAGCCGAGGCCAGTGGATCGCTTGAGGCCGGGAGTTTGAGACCAGCCTGGCCAACATAGTGAAATACCATCTCTACTAAATACACAAATTAGCTGGGCATGGGGGCACACCCTTGTAATCCCAGCCACTCTGGAGGCTGAGGCAGGAGAATTGCTTGAACCTGGAAGGCAGAAATTCCAGTGAGCCGAAATCACACCATTGTACTCCAGCCTGGGTGACAGAGTGAGACTCTGTCTCAAAACAATAACAACCAAAAAAAAGACAAAGAAAAGCAGGTTTTATTATTCACCCTGAGCATCATAAGGATCTCTCAAAAAAAAATTTTTTTTAAACTAGCCGTGGGTGGCGGCGTACACTTGTAGTTTCAGCTACTTGGGAGGCTGAAGTAGGAGGATTGCTTGACCCAGGGAGGTCCAGGCTGCGGCGAGCCGTGATTAGGCCACTACAGTCCAGCCTGGGTGACAGAGCAAGACTCTGCCCCCGACACAAAAAAAAGGCTGGGCAAGGTTGCTCATGCCTGTAATCCCAGCACTTTGGGAAGCTGAGGTGGGTGGATGAATTGCAGTTAGGAGTTTGAGACCAGCCTGGCCAACATGGTGAAACCCCGTCTCTACCAAAAATACAAAAATTAGCCAGGCATGGTGGTGCGTGCCTGTAATCCCAGCTATTTGGGAGGCTGAGGCAGGAGAATCGCTGGAACCTGGGAGGCAGAGATTGCAGTGAGCCGAGATTGTGCCACTTCACTCCAACCTGGGCAACAGAGCAAGACTATGTCTCAAAAAAAAAAAAAAAAAAAATGTAATGCCCTTGAATCATCCTGAAACCATCCCCACCCCCAGTCCGTGGAAAAATTGTCTTCCACGAAACCAGTCTCTGATGCCAAAAAGGTTGGGGACGGCTGAAGTTAATCCACACCCTGACTTCTGGGTGAAGGGGCAACGTTCCTCTCTGATCCTCAGCTTCTGAATCTCTGAATGGGATATTGGGGGTCACGGTAACCTCTTTGCAGGGGTGTGATCTCCCTGGGACCCTTAGAGATGGACTCAGGTTTCTGGTCTTCAACATCTGGCAGGCCCCCCAACATCTGGCAGGTCTCCAACATCTGGCTGGTCCCTGAGATGCTGGGTGGGGAGAGAGGGAGTGGGTGTATCAGGAGGGCTTCCTGGAGGTGGTAGATAGATCTTGGCTTTTGGACTCTGTCTGTCGTGGGAAAAGGTAGATGAGTTGAGTTTTGAAGTCTGGGCCCCTGGGGCAGTGTGCTGGGGGTTAGGTTCTTTGCAGTGGCAGTTGAGGCTGCAGCAAGGATGTGGGGGAGGCCTTGATCAATGGTGGAGGATTCTGGGGTCCATGGCCTTCCCTCAGCTCTGAGGACAGGTACCCAGGCCTCTCAATTCAGCCCCCAGCTCAGCCTGCCGGGTGCTCCCCATGCTGGGTGGAGCCATTCTGCCACAGAAACAAAACCCTGGTGGCTTTCTTCCAGTTGGTAGGAAAAAGCTACACCAGAGTCAGATTTTATTGTTTTTAGGCTTTTGTCCTTTATTTTATGTTTTTAGAGACAGAGTCTCCCTCTGTTGCCCAGGTTGGAGTGCAGTGGTGCGATCATGGCTCACTGCACCTTTGAACTCCTGGGATCAAGAAATCCTCCTGGGCTGGGCATGGTGGCTCACACCTGTCATCCCAGCTCTTTGGGAGGCTGAAGTGGGCGGATCAACTGAGATGAGGAGTTCAAGACCAGCCTGAGCAACATGGCAAAACCCTGTCTCTACTAAAAATACAGAAATTAGCCAGGTGTGGTGGTGGGCTCCTGTAGTCCCAGCTACTCAGGAGCCTGAGGCAAGAGAATAGCTTGAACCCGCAAAGCGAAGTTTGCAGTGAGCTGAGATCGGGCCATTGCACTCCAGCCTGGGTGACAAGAGTGAGACTTCATCTCAAAAAAAAAAAAAAAAAAAAAAAAGAGATCCTCTTGCCTCAGCCTCCCAAGTTCTGGGATTGCAGGCACATGCCACCACACTAGGCTAATTTTTTATTTTTTGTTGGCCTCCAACTCCTGACCTCAAAGAATCCTCACACCTCAGCCTCCCACAGCATTGGGATTACTGGTGTGAGCCACTGCATCCAGCCAGGTTTCTCCTCTAACGTTTTCTCAGTCACGAGTCAGGCTTGGTGGGCGACAAGGTATGTCAGGGATGTGTGTGCCTGGCTGTGAGGCTGGTGTGGGTGCCACATGCCACCTAAGTGGACCTCTAGGATCTGGACCTTCCTGGGCTGTCATCTGCATGCTCCATTCTCAGTGAAGCAAACCACCCCGTGCCTGCTGGCTACAAACACCTGTCACCATATCCTCTCTCCTGGCCCCCGGCTGACCAGGCTCACTGGGGTTCTTTTGTTCTATGTGATGGTGGCTGCCATTGTATCGGGGCTAGGCTGGCTGGATGTTCCATCCAGACGATCTGTCACATCTGGGAGAGCTGACCTCTCCATATGGCCTCTCCACATAGACTCCTGAGCAAGATGGCCACACTCCTCCCATGGTGACTTGGGGTCCTCAGTGTACAAAGCAGAGAGACTGCTGGGTCAGTGTCACTAGTGGCATATTCTGTGAGTTCAGTGGAGTCCAGGTCAGCCCAGATCCTGTGTGTGCGTGTGTGTGCATGTGCATGTGTGTGTGTGCACACATGTGTGTGTTGGTGAGGGTGGAGAACACATAAGGGCCTGAATATCCTTTTGAGACTCTGTCTCAATTAATTAATCAATTAATTTTTGACGTGGAGTCTCACCCTGTCTCCCAGACTGGAGTGCAGTGGTGTAATCTCAGCTCACTGCAACCTCTGCCTCCCAGGTTCAAGTGATTCTCCTGCCTCATCCTCTTGAATACCTAGGACTATAGGTATGGACCACAATGCCTGGCTAATTTTTTGTATTTGTAGTAGAGACAGGGTTTCACCCTGTTGGTCAGGCTGGTCTTAAACTCCTGACCTCAGGCAATCTTCTTGCTTCTCCTGCCTCAGCCTTGGGATTACAGGCGTGAGCCACCGCACCTGGCCAAAAAGATTTTTAATTTTAATTTCTCATTTTTTTAAGTCTTCCCTCCTCCCCTCATCCCTGCCATTTTTTTTTTTTTTTTTTTTTTTAGAGATGAGGTCTCGTTCTGTTGCCCAGGCTGGTCTCGAACTCCTTAGCTCAAGTGGTCCTACCACCTTAGCCTCCAAAGCACTGGGATCACAGGTGTGAGCCACGGTGTCCGCTGTTACCCACTTTTAAGGGGATTGTTTGATGCTAATGGGTCCTTTCTCTGCTGGGTGCTGTTTGCACCAATAGAACAAAACCAGGTTTGGTAAAGCAAGATAGAAACTTTATTAGTCAATCAATGAATGGAGAAAGGGAGGAACTCCCATTCAAAGAGCCTTCTCTCTGAAGGTGTGGTGAGGGGGATCTTTATTATTTTTATTTTTAATTTTTATTTTTTAAAGATGGAGTCTTGCTCTGTCGCCAGGCTGGAGTGCAGTGGCACAATCTCAGCTCACTGCAAACCCCGCCTCCTGGGTTGAAATGATTCTCCTGCCTCAGCCTTGGAGCAGGTAGGACTACAGGCACACACCACCACACCCAGCTAATTTTTTGTATTTTAGTAGAGATGGGGTTTCACCATGTTGGTCAGGATGGTCTCGATCTCTTCACCTTGTGATCTGCCTGCCTTGGCCTCCCAAAGTACTGGGATTACAGGCGTGAGCCACCGTGTCCGGCTGTATAAGGGGGATCTTTAAAGTTTCTTGGGGCATGTATGTGCACAGTGGGGGCAGGGATTTCTGGAAAGAGAGCTATCTAGGGATAACCGAAGTGTGCAGTCTTTTTTATACC